AGATTCTTATGTACTTATTATTGTTGTGACTTTTTAGGTTTCAGTGACATTCTCATCACTTTTAAGTTTCCTTTTGGAATCTAAACACTTTTGGTTTAAAGACTGCCATATCTGGCCCCACTTCTTCTAGAATGGAACCTCTCCAAACTTTTCTGTTATGGCTCCTGCATGAATAAAGATGCAAAATAATTTCATTCATTTATAAAATTCGAGAACATTTAGGAGGTTAATGTTCAAGAGGATGCTCAATGTAATATGATCTTTATAATAATGGCAGGGTTCGTACAGGTCATGGAATTTCAAAATTTCATTTTCCAGGCCTGGAAAGTCATGCAATTTAGGTGTGGGTCATGGAAAGTCATGGAAAATCAATATGCTCTCTATGAGTGAAAGGCAATAAGACCCAAAGTTGAAAAGTTAACTGACGGGTCCAAAAATCAGATTTAATTTCATTAGAAATGAACAGAAGCATGCATTGTGAGAATGTTTGCAAACATTCTTTCACACTGCCTTCTAGTCTTGGAATCTTTCAAAAGGTCAAGGAAAAAGTTATAGAAAATCATGGAATTTTAACAGGTCAAAAGTGTACGAACCCTGAATGGTAACAGTAACACTGGAACCTATTAACTGTGATGAAAAAGATATCAATGTCACAGACAAGTATAAAAACTATGTTCCTTTTTAAGTTAGGCTTTTCTATGTTAGCTATTATACATTCACATTTCAATTCTACACGAGCGCGCATTGGATATGAGATGATAGATAGCCAACAAGGCACATAGCGCCGAGTTGGCTATAATCATCTCATATCCAACAAGCACGAGTGGAATAATTGTTTTATTAAAAAAAAAAAAATGCCCCCAAGATATTAGACAAACCTTCTCGACTTTATTTTGTAAGAAGAAACCAGATGTTACAATGTACAGATATTAGATTATGGCATATTGGCTCATCTACCATAATGGCTAAGCCAATAAGAAGTCTTGAATTGCATTATCCAATGATCCAGTTTTTAATAATAGTTATTATCTTTTTAAATAATGTGAAATTCTGTAAAGGGAACTCCTCCTCAATGACCCTAAACACAAGCTAAGAGAATATATTTTCTTAGGTGATTACACAATGTTGTGAAACTATAAAGAAATTAATTACTTCTTCAAAGACTTGTCCTGTGGGGGTCCAGCACTTCCTTCCCCGTTGCTTTTTCCCCTGCTGGCTGAAGAATTCCAGCAGCCATTTCTTCTGTTGTAAAAAGGTGCAAAAACACCTTTAACGCTTATTTCTTCAGGTCCCCACCAGAGGGAATGGCAAGAAGTTTAACCTCAATGTGCATCTAAAAGAAAAAAAAATCATAAGTGTCATTAGTGACTATCTCATTTCCAAGAAGTTTCAATAGGGACCTTAAGATCTACAATGGTGATGGTGAAGAAAATGCCTCCAAACCGTTGTATGATTGGTTAAAAGTTGAAAATAACCTTGCTGTATGTGCAGTTCATATATTTTTGGTTCTGTGCATAAAAACGACATGAAATCACCATATTTGAGGTTTTAAGGGCAACGCTCCCATAAAAAATGCCTATCTTTTATTATCTATTCTTACTGTAAAACTGCTGGCACTAATTCATTTTTAGGATAGTTCGTCCACATTAGACAACTTGAATAAGATGGAATAACCACGAAAGACTTGCAATAGTGCAAAGTTATATTTTGAGGTGATATTTTCGTTGATGTTGATCTTAAGGTCTCTAATTATTGTAGATGTAAAGCTGAACTCAGGTGACTGCCTCTCAGGCAATTGCTAAAATTCAGCCCTCGTGGCATTATTGAAACAACCATTGCAGTGCATGACACCTACCAAGCATGCTGTGGGGGAGCTTCTAACTCCAGGTCTCACCAACATCACTCACATTACTTGCACCTTGAATTTCGTACTTGGGCTAAAAAAAAATCAATAACAGAATTCTAGTTTGAATAAAAGAGAAAACAAATAAACAATAGAATGGAGACTTATGACGATTTCCTTGATTTGTCTGTTGGTACATTAAAAGATTATCTTAATGTCAGAGGTCTTCAAACTACTGGTAAAAAAGTAGAACTTGTGGCGAGGGCTCATTATGTACATCCTCTGGTTCAACAACCTCTCACTCAATCTCTTTATCTTCGGGAATCTCTGGCAGCGGCTCAATGCCAAAATCCATTTCAACATTGTCCCCTAAAGAATCATTAGATGCAGATGTGCTTGCCTCTTTATCCAATAATCTTCTTTTTTGAGGAGTCTTGTCGAACTTGTTTTTTAGTACAGACAAAAAAAGTGTAGGGTTGGGATATTCTCTAGTAAGCTGTCAATCTACAAAGTGGTTTGCACAGACAAAAGTCCCATTTCCAGGTGAAAAATCATACCGCTTAATCCTGGGGCGGAGCAACTTCAGAATACCCGTCCACATCATTTACATATGTCGGGAGGCTTTGAAAAATGATACCATCTTTCCATTTCTGGTGTTTATTCTTGGCTGTGGTAAATTTAAAGAAACGCATTTCCTTAATGTGGGATCGAACAACATTTTGTCGGATATCCATCGTCGTTACAACCACCAACGCAACAGCGAGCTGTTTTTGGCTTGGCAGTCGACATAAAGGGGCCTGAGATTAAAAAAAGTATAAGTAACACTTACATAATCAAAAAATGGAATATGACGAGCAAAAAAGTAGAAAACATGTTTGAACATTTGGAGTTTCTCTTTGATGTTTGACACTCTTTCACGTGGTTGATTTGCATATGTCACCTCCATAAAAAGTAAAAATATCGCAAGAAAGATCGATCTCAGGCTGCTGAAATCTCGTACATACTTCGGCTATATACTTACCTAAAATTTCTGAAAATTTGAAGACCAGAGATTCATCTGACAGGAAGAAAATTAAGGAAATGTGGCTTGCACCTGAGTCACGGGTCGAAATTTTACAGTAAATGTATGGGGCTTGGTAGCCGCGCCTCGCAATGTTTTGCCTGCCCAACAAAATGGCGGCGTATACCGTGATTTGTTGAACTGTACGTTTTCAAAGCGATTGTTGATTTGCGTTGACGATTTTAAAATTGAAGTTCAAATGCACTAGATCTGTATGAAAAAGCTATTTTAATCAAGAGGTTTTATTTCTTCGCATACTCTGGTTTTCCCCTCACATAAAAAAAAAAACCAATATTTCAGTTGATTTACTCTGCTTTAAGTTGATTTGTAGTCTGCCAAATTAGTAGAGCACTCATGCTCAAATAAATAGCCTTGAGACTCAAATAAAGTGATTGTTGTTATTAGAATTACTATTTACCTACAAGAAAAATCATTAAAAGCTAACTTTTTTGACAAGATCTTGTAAGATTGTTTTAACTTTGTTTTTAATAGATGTTAGAGTGTTGATACCTTGATTAATAATTTTCTGAGATCTTGTAATATTTTTGTATCAACAGAATGCTGCAAACTGACTTTTGATGACAAGATCTTGTAAGATTTCTTTAAGATCTTACAAGATTTTATCAAGATCTTTTAAGATCTTAAAATGCTACACACTGACTAAATTTGACAAGATCTTGTAAGATTTATTTTAAGATCTTACAAGATTTTTATTAAGATCTTTTAAGATCTTAGCAAGTTGGATACTGATTTTTTTCTGATAAGATCTTGTAAGATTCTCTTAAGATCTTACAAGATATTTTTTAAGATCTTAGAATGTTGAATATTGATTTCTTTGGATAAGATCTTGTAAGATCCTCTTAAGATCTTACAAGATTTTTACCAAGATTTTTTAAGATCTTAAGAGTTAAACAAGATCTTATTAAGATCTTAATCTTAATAAGAATCTTACAAGATTCTTGTAAGATCTTACAAGATCTTAATAAGATTTCCACCTGGGTACACTACCAGGATTCTTGACTAGATTTATATTAATTTTATGTTAATACCCACTCTCCTCTGCAGGAGCTATGGATTGCAGTAAACAGTAAAAATTAACCAGCATTGAACAAGTGGACTCATTCCATACTTATAGACCAGAAAAAAAAAGGATCTCACCTACTGGAACTCTGCTCAGTGCTAGGAAAAGTAATGTTGTTGGAATTCCTGTCAGAATATAACCTACAGCTGCACCAAAGAGGCTAATCAAAAGAACATTTTTTCTTCCAAATATATCACTCAGTTTGCC